GTGTGTGTGTGTGTGTGTGTGTGTGTGTGTGTGTGTCGCTTGAGTATGGAGAATGAGCTTTCAAATTGCTTTTCATTTTTCAGATCCAGTTTTACATTGGGGGCTACAGTAGGCACATGAAATTACCATTAGTAATCTTTTGTGAAACGTTTTCTTAGATTCACCCATTCAGATCTGCCCTGCTTTGGCAAGCACAGACAGTTCTGTGTACCTTTTTGGAGGTCTGGGTAAAATGAGTTGGTGGGTTCCCATCTGCTTCTAGTGGGCTGGTGTCTGCTATATGCTACTATTACAACTCCCACCTTTTATGGAAAATGCAGTCCAGCGTTTTAGGACTGGCATGCTGGGGTTACATGTCAAACCTGTCCTCACTTTCCAGAGGGGAACCTTTTAGGGTTGAGTCCTCTGTTGCTATGCTTCAAGGGCGCTCTCCATGGTCATCACGTTTTAATAAAAGGCTCATGGGTTCCATCCTGTTAGCATTTCCAAGAGGGAGCATAAACCTGTGGTTTAGCGACAAGCAAATTGATGTTTTGAAGGTTCTGGTAGTTTCATTTCACAGGAAAAGCTCCAGTTAAGCAATCACTGTCAGCTAAAACCTTGGAGTTCCCTGGTTTCATTTTACCGAAGCTTTTGCATATATGTCTAGCAGAGATAGAGAAGAAATCCAGAATACTGGCTGCTCTTCTTTTTGACGGGTTAGAAATTGTCCTCTCCTCTACCTGCTTTGTAATGTTGGGGATACTGTAAAAGGCTCACATTTGAACTTGTGTAGAGGCAGGATGTTCTTATTCCTGATTCAAATGTATTGCCCCCAAAGGGATTTAGGGGAGGAATTTCCATTTCCCAGATAGATTACTGTTTAAAAACTGATTGTAAACCTGTTTTTAAAACTGTTTATCACTTCATCAGAGCTTCCATTCTTTTGCCTTTTCCTTTAGAGGATATCAGTAGTAAAATTTTCTATCAGGCAGTTCGTAAGAGTGTTTTTGCAAGAGTGTCTGGGTGTTTAAAAATTCTTGCTTTGATTTGTGGGTCCTTATGTCTTGACTTTTCCAGAAGTTTTGCTATTTTTAGTACAGGTATTTAAAAATCTGAATTCACAGGGCATCTCAATGTTATGCTATGCTGAGATTAAATTTGCTAAAACTGTTACTAACATTCTGAGTTCTTGGGACTCACATTTAGCTGATAGGTCAACAAATCGTAGTGGTTCCTGGCCTTTGAGCTGACAGTCCAGGTAGGGGGAGGAGAAGGCAGCACATTGAACAACGGACTGGAACTCTAGGACAGCTGTATACATATACTGTCGCGCATCTTTGGTCTCTGTGATCTCTGCCTCAGCCAAAGTGGTCAGCGTACTCCCTGAACATTCCTAAGATACAGTTCAGTATCCTAAGATACTTCTCCATCGTCCAGGTCCTTGATTCTCTTGGTGTTCCTCCTTTGGACTCTTGAAGTACTTGCCTCATGCTCTTGCTGTAGCCTGCTTGTGGTTATTTTTCCTTTTATGTACATGTTTCCTCTTACCCACTAGGTCACTAGTTAGGATGGACATTTCTTAAATGTAGAGTATGATATTTGGATTTCATCCTGAAGCTTTCATATTCCTCTTTCAAAGTTAAATCCGTATAAGCTCACCATCTCAGCCTTCTCTATGTACCCGCAGAGCTAGGGGGTTTGCTCATGTTCCTTTTTTCTTTTCCCCCCTTTTTAAAGTTGCTTTCAGTATTCTACTTCTTGGACTTCATTCTCCTCCAAGGCTGGCTGTGGTGTAGGAAGCAGTCCACCTGCTCCTTCTGGTTGTCCATGAAAATGAGCCACGAAACCCTTTTCAAAGATTTAATTGTTGATTACCATGGAGAAAGAAGCCATGACAAAAAGTGAACGCAGTTAACGTATGGAGATTCAGAGCCCTTGGTCCCGAGTCCCCCTGTCTCTAGAAGCTTCTTGTGGAAGGTGCTTGGAGCTTCTCCAAGCTCATCAGGATAGGTTTGTGTTGGCTGCACTGCCAGATCTGTAGATATTTTTTTTCAAGCCTTCGATGACATGTTCAAAATAATGTTTTGGAGCAGGAATCTGACGGTGGGACATCAAGAAGACCCCGTTGGAAAACTTGGGCTTAAGGAATAATTTCTTGAACTGCGATGATGGGGATGGGAACTGGTAAAGAATGAATGAGTGTGAGAAATGCTGTAAGGTGAGGGTGGAGAGGATTCTGGCTCCCGGGTTCACTGATCACACCACAGCTTTGAACTAGAGTGGGGGAACGTTGCTTTTATTATTGCCAATAAAGGATGGGATTGTTGATTTGGAATGAAAAATACAGTGGGGTTTAGGTGGAACTGTCTAACAGGGAGTTGAAGTTTGGGGGCCAAGCCAAGGTGTAGTGTTTCCTGCAGTGGGCCAGGTCCTTCCTCACATGCATTGTACACTGTATCACAGTAAGTCCAAGATGCTGACACTCTTCTTCAGCACTGGCATCGTGGCCTCTTTCTGCTGGTTTCTATACTGTGTGATCAGTAGGTTGGTGTTGATGCTAGGCTCCAAAGTAAGTGATCCGATAGATTAACGTGGGTTGAGTATGAGAGAATTTAGAAGCCTTTTTCCAAGTGCTTGCTGTATTAATTTTTGTGCATTCACAAATGTAGCCCACAGTAATTCTTTAGTGAACTAGAATCTTCGCGTCTTTGAATTTTGCTGCATTTCGGTACTGAAATGTGATTTCAGTAAGACAGGAAGTTTTCCTGAAACCAATACTACACTCTATGTTAGCTCATTGGATTTTAAATAAAATGTTGGAAGAAAAAAAAAAGACATTAGGTTTTCTACAGTGTTGATTCTATACTAACAGTGCAGTTTGTATTTGAGAATTTCCCCAAATCTGGTATGGTGTGTTTGACTAAGATACTTCATGCCACAACTCGTGTTCTCTCTAAAATCTGTGATCAGTGAACACTGTCACTGTCAGAATTCCTTGGTATTTCAGGATGTGGTATCTTTTTCATCCCCTATTAAGTTTTTAGCTGTTGAAAAACAAAAGACTAGTGAGTAAATAGAGCTTTTTGGAGCCTACCTTGGGTTCCCGCAGAAGGTTTAGTATATATTGCAGTGAAGGAAGGATAGGAAGGGGATACTAGAAAAGTCCAAGGCAGTGGGGGAGCGGGGGGAGCGGGAGGAGGGCGGCGGAGTGCGTGTTAGAACAGTGCTGGTCCTGGTGTGACGGATGGCTTTATATCACAAATACTCCCATGAAACCCCTACTAGTAAATCCTAGTGTTAGGAGTCCAGAAGAACCCATGGGAAGAAAATTTAGGGGCTCCCTTGCTGATATGGGACTGGTCAGATGGTTGTAGTTAGATATTCTTATACCTGCTGAAGCTGAGAAAAATTTCAGCCACTTTTTCTATGGAAAATAGAAAAGCAAGCTGTTGTGTAATTTCACTCAGCTTTCTATTCTTCCTTCTGTTGAATCCGTTGGAGTAATAGTTAGTGGAGGAAACTATTTCAGGATCACACCCACGGCACTAGAGACTGGATGTATAATCACTTACACACACATAGGTGTGGAGTAATCCTGAAGGGGGCTATAAACCAAAGAGGGTGCTAATTTGAAGAATTAGAATCTAGTTCCCAGCAGCTGGTCTGAGACTCCTGTCTTTGCTCTTTTCCTACAGAGCTGACCGGACAGCTCAGAGCCTGCTTGAGGAATTCAGAGGACTGCCGGTAGAATGTTCTTTCTGTCCTTAGGAGTATTTGCTAGGGACTCAGCTGCTTCAGGACACCAGCATCTTCAAATTCATTTTACCATTTTGAACATGACATGGATTTTTTTTTTCCCCTAAGAGAATATTGAAATTGAGGATGGCCCTGAGCTAGGCTTTACATTAATTTGGATTCAAACAGCAAGTGACATATCTGTTTTCATTTTTTAAGTTATTTGATGATCTAAGAGACTTTTGTATACTAAGGGCTTCAAGCCATATGGAGATTGAAGCTGGAGGTTTGAGGAAAAAACAATATGGAGATGTTTATGTTGTATACTGGCTTCTTACTCGAACAGTTTCAAATCTGAAAAAAATCTTGCCATGTATGTAAGAGATTTTTCATGTGGTATCTGATAACTAAACTCAGGAATTCTAGTTTCAATCATTCTCTCTGCTGAAGTAGTTTGAATAGTCTGCAGAACCCGTGTTTTCAAATTAGTTGATTTATTAAAAGTACTCAATAAAGTCAGAGTGCTCATGGTAGATAGCGTTTTTACCATGTTCCAAATGCTGTGTTAAATTTTTTCTGTTTGCTGTATCAAGCTTCTCATGCATAGCCCCACCTGATTGTTTTGTTTTGTTTTGTTTTACTTTTTATTTTGAAATACAGATTGACAGAAAATTGCAAAAAACTGTACAGAGAGATCCCATCTTCCCTTCACCTAGTTTCATGCAGTGGTAACATGTTATATAACTATAGCTTCATAGCAAAACCAGGAAATTGACATTGTTACAATTTGTAGCCTTACTTAGATTTCCCCAGTTTTGCATGCACTCATTTGTGTTTGTGTGTGTGTGTAATTTTATCACGTGTAGATTTGTGTGACACCCCCACGATCAAGGTACCATCACCTCAAAGATCCCTCATGCTACCCCTTTTTTCTCTTGCACACACCCACCCTCATCTCTAACCCTGAGCAGCCACTAATCTCTCCATCTCTCTAATTTTGTCATTTTGAAAGTGTTAGATAAATGCAATCACACAGTATGTTACTTTGGCTTTTTTCCTCTTACCATAATTCCTTTGAGATCTATCCAAATTGTTTTCATGTATTAATAGTTCATTCCTTTTTAATGTTGAGTAGAATTCCAAAGTGTGGATGTACCACTGTTTGTTTAATGATTCACCCGTTGAAGGACATAACCCAAAAGTTTCCAGTTTTGGGCTGTTACAGATAAAGCTGCTATAAATATTCACATACACGTTGTTATGTGAACATAAGGTTTCATGGGGGTGGGGGGATAAATGCCTAAAAGTGCTGGGTCATATGGTAAGTACATACTTAGTTTTGAAAGAAACTGCTAAACTCTCTTTTAGAGTTTTGTATCATGTTACATGCCTACCAGCCCTGTGAGATCCAGTTTCTCTGCATCCTTGCCAGCATTGAGTGTTATCACTGTTTTTTATTTTAGCTGTTCTGTTATAGGTAGTGATGGTTCATTGTGTTTTTATCATATGAACCTCATAAATAACCTCACCTAATTTTAACTTTAACTTTTGTTTAAAAACTTGTTGGCAGTATTGAGAATGTCCTTAATTAAAAATTTTTAAGTAAAACTCATTTTAACTTTTTGTTTTATCTTTGAAGTACTTTGCAGTGTTTCCTTTACATGTTGCTTTTTCTTAGGAACTAGTTAGAAACTAGTATGAAGTAGAGCTTTATTTTCATATTTAAAAAAAAACACGTAAAAGGGGCGCCTGGGTGGCTCAATCTGTTGAGTATCCGGCTTCGGCTCAGGTTATGATCTCGTGGTCTGTGAGTTTGAGCCCTGCATCGGGCTCTGTGCTGACAGCTCAGAGCCTGGAGCCTGCTTTGGATTCTGTGTCTCCCTGTCTTTCTTCCCCTCCCATGCTTACACTCTGTCTCTGTGTGTGTCTCTCTCTCTCTGTCAAAAATAAACATTAAAAAAAATTAAAGTCCCATCTTTAAAAAATAAATAAGTAAAAATAAAAAAAAAAAACATGTTAAAAAAAAAAAAAACAACTGCAGAGTTGATTTCAGAATTTAGAGTCCTGTCCTTTCATATGTTATGAGTAAGCTTTATTTTCTGTTGGCTTGGCTATATTTTGGGGAGTAAACACTATTGTTAGTGTTGGTTTTTGTTGATGGTGAGGTTTTTTTTTCAATATAAATATAAATATAAATTTCATTTTTTAGAGAGAGGGAGAGACAGAATGTGAGTAGTGGAGGGACAAAAAGACACAGAATCCGAAGCAGGCTCTAGGCTGTGTGAGCTGTCAGTGCAGAGCTTGATGTGGGGCTCAGACTCACAAACTGTGAAGTCATGACCTGAGCTGAAGTCAGACACTTAACTGACTGAGTCACCCAGGCACCCCTAATATTTTTTTTTAATGTTCATTTTATTTGAGAGAGAGAGAGAGAGAGAGAGAAAGAGAGAGAGAGACAAAGTGTGAGGGGGGAGGGGAAGAGAGAGAGGGAGACAGAATCCAAGGCAGGCTCCAGGCTCCGAGCTGTCAGCACAGAGCCCAGTGCAGGGCTCAAACTCATGAACTGCGAGATCATGACCTGAGCCAAAGTCAGACGCTTAACTGACTGAGCCACCCAAGTGCCCCAATGGGGAAGTTTTTCTACAGTATTTTTATATCTGAACAATGTGTTCAGACTGTGCAGAGTGAATACTTTATCTTTAAATTTATCCTAGAGTAAACTGTGTTTCATCAGAACCATTTTCTGGACTGAGATCTGGGACCTGGTCCCTCATTTTTCCCTTAGTGTTTTGATTTTGTCAGAATAACATTACTTTCAGTACCGTCAAGTGTTATAAATTTCTGCCAAAGCAGGAATAAGAATCTGTTAGGATCGTGGTCATAGAGGTTTAAAAGTTAATTTCCAATGATTGGTATTTAATGAAGTGTTAGGTGTCTGATGATGTTCGAAATTTTGATATCTTTATTCCTTGAAGTTAGTTATTCATCCTTTTTTTACTTTGTGTGAGGTGTTAATACCACTGTCCCTTAGAATACTTGTTTTTAAAATCAACATAAAGGAGTGCCTGGGTGGCTCAGTCGGTCGAGCCTCCAACTTTGGCTTAGGTCATGATCTCACAGTTCATGAGTTGGAGCCCTGTATCGGGCTCTCTGCTGTCAGCACGGAGCCTGCTTTAGATCCTCTGTTTGGATTCTCGATCCCTCTCTGTCTCTGGCCCTCCCCCCTTTCTCCTTTTCTCTCTTTCTCAAAAATAAGATAAACATTTAAAAATAAATAAATAAAATCAACATATAGTTTAAATACTACTAATTAATACTAATTGCCAAGAAACTGGAAAATATACCTAAATCAAAGAAGTAAAAAAATAGCCTCCATAATACTATTGCCAGGATATGAACTACTGTTAACATACTGGTGTGAATATTTTTAAACTTTTAGTGTACGTATACATATATTTCCTTTTTTATTTTTATTAATATGGACTTCTATAGTGAGTATACTTAGAATTTATTTTCTAGTGCAAAGAGTTAAAAAAAATTGTTTTAAATAATGAAAATTTATTGTCTCACAATCTGGAGTCCAGAAGTTAGAACTGGTTTTACCCTAAGGTTGTTTTCTTCTTTGGGAGAAGGGCATTAGAATATTGTGGGCCTACTTTTT